CTTTCCCTCTAAACATCTAAAACATTTCTCTGGATGTTTACAGATCTAGGCTATGGAGGTAGTTTTTGGATCTACCACAGAGCTCAGACAGATTTTACCTGCAGAAAGGACATGCATTTACCACCTGCACTGACAAGAAACTGAGATGGTCTTGGCTCCATCAAGAATACAAGATCCTTGTTAAGACACAGATCAATTTACTTACCAGGAACTGGCAACAACATGGGGGAGAGCTACACCCTGACACAGTTAGTCCAGGACAGTCCTAAGAGGCAGTTTTCAAGTCACCTCTGTTCCTTAGAAAATGTTCATGTTGCTCCAAAGTCACAGAGTAGTAACTCCAGACATGAAAATCCGTATTTTAAGAAGTTCTTAAAACTTTAAATTGTTTTTCTCCTCATTTTGTTGCCAATGAAGAGACTATTATTGCCCAAGAGTTGTTTTTGACAGCCCAACAGTGTCACTGCCCATGATGAAAGGCCATGCTGGAGAAACACATGAGAAAACCAAACAGTAAAAGCCAAACAGGCTGACAAAAATCAACTCTACCACTCCACAGTATCCAAAAAAAAAAAAAAAAAAAAGGGATTATGCCTAGGCAGGTTTAATTTAACTGAAACTGTAAGGTAAAGAGGTCACCTGAGAAAGATTGTTGGATTTCACCAACAAGCAGCAAAAGAATCCCAGAATCAGTCAGGTTAGAAAGGACCACAGTAGGTCAACTGGTCCAACCTCCCTGCTCAAGCAAGGCCATCCCAGAGTACAAGTGACAAATCACTGCGATCATACCTGTGGCTGGTTTGGGGTCACATCTGCAACCAACCACACCTCCCACAATAAACAGCAGTAGCTGTGCTACTCATTGCCTTCCAGAGGGTAACCTTTGGGCACACAAGCAATGAAATCCCCAGTTATTGACAGGAATTACATCTCACAAAAACACAAGTTTCTGGTGTCTCATTTTCCGCAGGTAACAAATGATTGCCATAATTCCTCAGTCTGAGACACACAGGAGGTGGAAAAAAAGCCATGACCTGCACTGATCATGTTTAATCTTGTCAGAAATCACATTAACCACATGCCGTCTCCTCCTAACCACAGCACTCTCCAGACCACTCCCATCAACTGCTCCCCTGCTTCCCAGAGATAAGGAGGATATTTTGATTAGGAACATGTTCTTCTCCCTTCCCCACAAAGTTTTTCTCCTCAATTCCTAGTGCATAGGGACTATCCTAATTCTTGCAAGCTTATAAATGACAGGAAGCTGCCCTTGGGAATACGACTTGGATGCAAACTATCACCCCCAGGGCTTTGAGGGCTTTGACACCAACATCCTCTGTACCAGCGGGACACCCCCCCAAAAAAACCCAAACCCAAACTAACCTACAACTATGTGGAGTAAGGACATAAACCAAGAGCACGTCTGCAAGCAGAACCCACAGTCCTGCAGGTGAAGCTCATTTTTGGGGGGCAGAAAATGAGGTAACAGCTCTCTGCTGCGTCCTTCACGCTACCACCCTGTGCAACACTGGCATGGCTTGGGCCAAGCGTCACACAGCCAACAACCTCTGTACCAGCAGCATTAAACACCCCCAAACCAAACCAACCCACAGCTATGTGGATTAAGGACATAAACCACGAGCAGCTCTGCAAGCAGAACCCACAGTCCTGCAGGTGAAACTCAGCTCCCTACCCTGTCCTTCACCCTACCGCGTTGTGCAACAACACACAGGTATGGCTAGGGTCAGTCATTACACAGCGCGAACACCACCGTTA